TTATTATACAATAGTATATATTTTACATTGTTGCTAAAAATTGAGCTTGTAGCCTGATAAATTCAAATAAGTGCATTGAAGTGTTTATTAAWCAAATCAGTATTTATGTGCGGATTTAAAAGTATTCTTTGTACCTGCCTTTCCCCTTCATGTATGAAAGGTTTTTCTCCTGTGTTTGGTGTATTGTCTTTGGATTGACCTCATACAGGAACTGAGACCATGTTGTCCCTAGATGATCTCACTAAGATACCAGTCCTCTTTACACACATTTTTAGATATCTTGCTCCTGTACCTGTGACAGAATGCAGCCCAGTGTTTTTTCCCTGGGTTACACAGGTCTCATTACTGATTGTGAATAGCTTGAGAGCAGCAGGGAACCATCCGAGCACATCGTGCTGACAGACACAGGAAGCAGGTTGAATGGCTTTTTGATTCACTCCTTTCTGACCAGCAGGTTCAATGTCAGAGTCCTTCTATTTTCACCTCTTTCCATGAGCTTCCTTTTCTCCGGCTCTCCAATTAGTGTTTTTTTCTTCTTCTACATGTCTCTGTTCCTCCCTCTCTCCGGTGCAGAGTATTTCTGTTTCTGTCCCATAATCACCTTCTCACATTTTCAGCACATTTTTTGTAATCTGTCTTGCTCTCTTCCTATTAATCCTGTTTCCCCTACTCTTCTTCCTCATCTTCTCTTCCACCTTCCTCCCTATTTCTTCCCACTTTCTGCCATTCCCCACCTCATCCGTCTGCCTGACAGACAMCTGTTAATAGCCACAAAACACATTAAAGGTGTTATTGAATGCAAACATGCCAGTTGATGGGGAGCTACATGAGAACAATTTTTAGTGAGACGGAGGGAAAAACATGTAGCTCCAGATGGCTCTTCTCCGGGTGGCCTGCTTCCTCCCAGTAGGCTTGTGCCGACTCTGCAAAAGGGGTGTCGTTATCGCCTGTGTCCCTGTGACTGCACCTGGGGGGGAAAGAGGTCTATTTTTATCTGCATCACATTGCAAAGGAAATATGAGCCAAGAGAAAGAAGACGGGACTGAAATTATTCTTTGTTCGGTGCTGWGCTCGGTAGCATACTACTTTAGACTGAAAACGGCACGAGCTGAACCAGTAACTTTTATCTGTGGGAGAAAAACGACCACCGTCACTTATCTGCACCCACCTTATGTCAGAGCTCCAAATAATGGCTGCAATTTTCTGTTACTGTCTTCTTTTTCCTCTTCATATTTCTTTTTTCTTATTTTTTAGTAGCTTTCTTTAGTAATGAATCCCAAAAATAAGAAATAAAAAGATTATCTCGCTTCTCTCTTGATGGCCTTTTCACCAGCAGTGAAAATGATCTAAACAAAGTCTTAGGTAAAAAAAAAAAAAAGTCTAGTTGAACAATTCGCTGGATATTTCCCCCTTATGGAGAATGTTGCATGGTTGAATCTTGTGAAGGAATTTTTTTATTGTCAAAGAACTTGAGCAATCATCCACCAATGTCCTCGGTGGATGTCTAGCCTTGGTATACATATCTTTTTATTGCAGAACTTTCTGTATGTATTGTTTGTTTATTTTGGTCATTTCTCTCGCCTAGCTTGCATCGGGTGCATGTTGTTTATTCACAGCTTCAGTTTGAAAATGCAAATATCACACTTGGAGTCAACTTGCAACCCTCCTCCTGCTTAGTTTATGAGTTAATTGCGAAGCAACAGMTTGCGTGTCCATGAAACAACTTGTACGTAATTAGACAATTCACTTAAAGGGGACATATCATGCAGAATCCACTTTTTTAGCTGTTAAATGTTTTTGTTATGTACTTTTGAGTATCTAGGAGAGCAGACACTTTGAAAGAAGATATCGTCTTAGTCCGTATGGTTCATATTATTAAACTTGTTCAGTTTTCTGAAGTATTACATCACAGTGTTTGTGACAGAGCTGTCAAAAAAGGTCTGACTTAAAAACTACAGTTTGGTCGTCTTCATTCTCCTCTGGCTCTGGGTCTGACTCTGGCTCCAACATGTAAGGCATGGACAAGTCTTCCCTTGTTAACTTTTAATTAATTAAAAATACACGTTTCTGCACCATTTCTGTGAAGCTGGAGAGGGGGTGGGGTGTGAAGCCCCTTGTTTGGATTTAAAGAGACAGCCTCAAAACGAGTTAATCTGAGACACACCTCAGAAAAAGGGTGAAAGAGGGGCTTGTGGAGTTACATTAAAGAGGAATTCAGACCAAAGCGTTGCGTTCCACTTCATAAAGACCCCAACTGAATGWTTTAAATGTAAAATAGAAGGATTTTAAAGCACAATGGGCCACATGCAAGAACATGTTCATATTCTTATCCTAAGTTTCTCTTACTTTTGTTCGTGCGAAGGCTTCGTACGAACATGTCACATCAGATTCAACAAACGCTTCTATCTTCAGGAAAAGTGTGTAAATGAAGAGTGTAAACTGATGAATGCGTATCCAGGTGCTCGTGCACGAGAAGAGGAGATTAGCATAATAACCACCCCAAAAAACATCATATAAGAAACGTTTCCTGCCTCACATACCAGGAAGTGTCCATTCATAAATGACATCCCAAAGTAAAAAAGAAGAACTTTACAAGTTTGGAGATTGAAGTTCTGCTCTCGGAGWTCCACAAAAAAAGTATTTTTTAGCAGCGTCAGCTGTGGAATTAAAGGATCTGCTTTAAACCCGAGGAATGAAATAACTACTGCTGTTAATTTCGTGTCACCTGTGGGTCGTACAGTCACAGAAATAAAAATCTAAATCATATTTATCTCTCTGTAGTCCTGCTCCGGTTTTTCTTTGGTCAAATATTTTTAATTTCAGTGACTTATTCAGAGGAACAGATGCGTTTATGGAAAAAAAAGCATTTTAAAATGTCTCAAAACTTCAGTTACGGTAACTTCATATTGATATTGTAGTGCTATACAACAAATTAATAGCCAATTTATTTTAATTTAATCAATTAGTCTACATTATTACATTCAAAATTATAATTCTAATTCAAACAGAATAGCCTMTTGTCAACATAATTATGGAGTGTGATTTATTTTCAACTCAAAATATCTTCAAACTAAYGAAATATAAAGTTATTARTGAAGAAAAYCCATCTGGATAACAGCAGACGGACTGCTTATAAAATATACGACAGGTCTGGACCACACGTGAATTTTGTTTGTATCTGAAGAAAATCTTAGAATACGAAAACATTGTTGAATGCCACAAATTCTCCTAAATCACTCGTATGCACAACTTAAGAACAAATCTGTTCGTATGAAYGGTTCTTTCATGAGGAATATGTTTATGGTTATATGAATATGGTTCTTGCATCCAATATGTCTCCTTAAGAAGTCCTGTTCAAAAAGAAGGTGCTGCATATTTGTAATGTGTGGGACTTGAAGAATGAGCACTTGCAGCCCATATTTATTTTTATTTAGCTGAAAGTTGCTTTAGAAAAAAAAACTATGCAAATACATACAATTAAAAACTGTACATGTTTTAACATCTTGGAGARAAAAGTTGAACCAAAGGTCAAGTTCTGCATTTTGTCACTAATTACAGTCAGTTGTTAACTAATGATTAAAGATCTCTTTCCAGTATATCTACAGCCAAGTACCAKTATTATAATGTTTCCTCAATAAAACGGGGAGGTCCTGTCCTCGGAGACGTTTTGTTAATTATGGTTTTTATTTTTAGCACGGTCATCTTGAGAATAAGAACTTCCTGGCTTGCCTTAACAACAGTCATCCCCCTCCCACACCAACCCTCATTACCAGCCCTGTTGACCTTTCTTTAGAGCTTGTTTTCCAGCTGAACCGCGGAGCGATCAATTGGCTGATTCTTTAACAGCGGTTATACAGTAGCTCTGCCACGCTCGTCACCCAAAGGTGTCCTATGAGAGTCCTAATGGGTGCCAGATTGTGTACGCTTGAGATGCTGGTGTGGGKAGTAATCACAGGTTTAGAACATGTTTGTGCATTTAATTTCTCRTGACCTGCAGGCTCATCTGTTTGAGTATAATAGTTCTAAGAGATGTTCTTCRTTGTTAAAAKACATCAAAGTGTCTGAGATTTGAAGAAAAAAAACTCAACTTGAAGCTGTGGTAGTCAGGAATGCCACTTTATTTCTGATACGTTTTAATGTAGCCCTCCATAATTCATCCCATATTTGAGATAGACAGAAAGAGAGCGAGAGTGTAGTTTACGGATAGCAGAGTATTATTTTCTATAAAGCCTTAAGCTTTTGAAGCATTTAAAGTCTGTTTCTGAGGCAGTGAAAATGTTAGGAAGAGCAGCGAAGTTCAGCTGGAATGAAATCTGCGGGAAAATAGCTAARAATACCAATCTTTTGAGGGAGGACTGGGAGCCAACATAATGGAGATTATAACCCCATTAAAGCAAGAATGACACACTCGTGTGCACATGCTTGAGATTACTAGTAATGTGTTTTAAATGATTCTCCGGCCTGTTGTTGACAGTCATGTGTGTGTTGCATGCAGTAGGTGGTAAATGAGCTCCTCCACGTTTTATGAATTGTCAGCTTCTGTACGTCTCACCCAGAGTGTCTTTGTGGAGGTCAGCTCATAAACCCTGCCGAGCCAATCTTCTCTCCACTTTGTAAGACTGCCTGTTGACTCTGCCACATTACGCCTCTCCTGCCACTTTGTCCACTTGTGTTTTTTCTACGTTGCTGGAGCAGAATAAAGACATGATTATTATTTTTTTTTTGCTGGTGCTTTTGGTCGTTTTGCTCGGTGTTAGGGTTCCTTTTCACATCGTACATCTGATGGCAGCGTCTCATCTCGTGTTTTCTTGTCACCGAGTCTGAAAAGAAGCAGATATGAGAGTTTTTGTGCAATGATGTGGGAATAATGTAAGAAGTTAATTTAATGCAATTTTAATGTGTTTTTCTTTGCTAAATGTGTTTCTTTAGGCTATGCTGTTAATGTTGTGAAATATTCTCTAATATTTTTTCTGCTGTTTTATTTTCTCATTTGTTTGAAATTAATTGTGAAAATAAAAGGATGGTTCAGATGTTTTGAAGTGGAAGTAATAATTTAATAATTTACCTGTTGTAGATAAGTTTTTGAACCACTTTAAAGAAATGGTTTAATTCTGCACTTCACTGCATTTCAGTCTGGTTGAGTTCTGAAATTTGTCTGGAACATTGCTGCTCCTTGATTAATATTCTTGTAAAGTGACGACATTACTTGTGATTATTGTTTTGTGAACCAGTTTTGTCTGTATTTTGTTGGACAAAAGTGCATGCCTAACACGATAACTGCAGGGTGAGCAGGTCTTGACAACCACATGKGGAACTCCTGTTTGCTTTTTTCCCCAAATGCAATTTTGCTGCCATGTTTTTTGATTTTTTTAATTTAATTTAATTTTTTAGAAAGCAAATACTTTCACCCTGCAACCTTTGCAAACAAGCCACTCTTGTTCAATCTCTTTTTTTCTTCACTCAAATGTCATAAACTTTAACTTTGCAACTAAGACCTATAAAGTTTAAGATGCCCCTTTAGGCTTTCCTGCAACTATAGACTGTTGAGAAGAATGGCAAATGTCGAGTGTTTTTCATTTGTGAATAAYGTTTCTTTCTGTGAAATTGTCTGGAAATGTCTTTATAGCTGTTCCCAGATTGAGGAAAAGCAAGAGTTGTAAACTGTAACAGTGCGTAGGGAGATTGCTTGAAAAGTGACTGGAATGAATGTTTCAATGATCATCAGCTGAAATAATTTCCTTTAGTTATCCATCACTCAACCTTTCTTCAAGCAGCTGATCAAATCCATTATTAAACACTTGTTTTWTCTTGTGCTTTCATGCTGCTTGKGTAGACCCGTGCCGCTCTGTGTTGYACMAAAACGACACGTAAACAGGAAGTGAGCAGCTGACCACATAGTGTCCATCTGTTGGCCAACTTTCCCTTCTGTCCTCCCATTCCAGGCTGCCCCTTCTGGAAGAATGGCGTGGCGTACGAGATGAGGCGCTGTCGGAGCTGAGCGGGATTAAAGGCTGCATCTTTGTCCATGCTGGAGGATTTATTGGAGGCAACAAGACCAAGGAAGGAGCCCTGGAGATGGCCAGACGGACCCTGCAGGCTGCTGCCCAGCCTCCAGCAAATGGAAGCAGCTGATTGCTTAAAAAATAGACATTAATGTTTGGATATCCTAATAAGTATGATGGCTTAGTGTAATCTCAACCTGGATGTCAGTTCATGTTATTTCATGTTCTATTTGCTCTTTTAACTATGTTGATAATATTTTTTGTTTGCAGTGAAGGACTACTTTGGGTTACATTCTGGTGTTTAGTCCTGTGTTAAAACGAGCAATAAACTGTTTTTTAACTCTGGTCTTGTTTTCCAAAGTCAACCTATGTTATTATGGTACCATCTGATGGTCCAACTCCACCATCTTCAAAGCCTAAGAATACCACAACCTTACCTTTGAGGATGTGAATACACACACCTGGACCGTGGTTCTGCTTTTCATTTCCAGCATTGCTGACATTAACCACGGCACAACAAAGTGATTCAGCGGCTGCTTCTGCTTGCTCCGAGATCAAAGCGTCAATAATGAAGACTGATTAATTCAGAGAAATTAAATTTCTAAACGCCGTGGAGGGCTTCTCCTCGTGGCAGCAGATGKTGTGACAAGGTTACTGGCATTGTCAGTTTCCCAATAATAAAGTCAGGAATGTGCCGTAAATTTTCTCATTACTACTCCAGATTCTGCCCCACCCAACTCCTTGCTGTAACTCCTTCCTTATTGCATTTGCACGAAGCTGACCTTGTGCCTATCTGACTTATTTTTTTCCATCATTGCTGTTGTGCAAATGCTATGGCAGGGGGAAAAGTAATTCCCACCGCTTCCAGCTGTTCGTGGCGCTTTGCTTCATTTGTGTTCAGCAGTGCAGACAATTCAAGTTCTCAAATCACGCGGTTCATTTACCCTTCTTTGCTATCATTATTCTCGAGAAGCATTTTGTTCTCTGCCTACACTTGCTGCAAAATTAAAAAAAGCCTGTAAGTTAGGGTATTTGCACTGATGATACATGGTTCAAAGTCGACCATCTAATTTATTTTAGTCTCCAGTATCAGCTGAACACATCGTTTCGCACATAGCTGAGAGAGCACTGGATATTTTTAATAGCTTTGGAAATGCACTCTTGCAGCTTCCTTTTTCAGTTTACCTGTGTGACACTAACACACACACACACACACACACACACACACACACACACACACACACACACACACACACACACACATTTTTTGTGCTCTGTCCTGGATCAGAGCCAAAGTCCCAATCCAATCCATACACCTTTGTGACTGCCTTTTATATTGGCGCGGTCCATATTTGCTGCCAACTAAAGCCGGTTTCTTTGAGATGTAAGAGATGAGAATTTTCACAACTTTAATCACCAAACAAAGCAGCACACAGTGAAGGTGTGTGCATCGCAATTGCATGTAAGAGAAAGTGGGTGAAACATCAATCTGAAGAGGAAAAACYGACAAATCTTAATGTTTTTTGAGGATTTTTTTTGTGTGATGTTCTCAGTTGCCACTATACTCTTTGTATGCACAATCTCAGGCTTATTCATGACCAAGAGCACTTGCTTGATTGCAGGAAATTGCTAGATGCTCTCTCTTCAAAATCCTCTAAAGCCTCCTTTTTATTTATTTTTTTATTCCCAAATGATGCTTTTGTTATCTGCCAGCAGAACTAGCCAGCACTAAGTCTCTTCCTGTCATCCACTTTACCTTCAAAGCAGAACATGTTTACTCAGTTTTGTGGAAAGAGAGTATTCTTCCTCATATGGTTTGTAACGACACAGCAGTTGACAAACCTTTGTGCTAGTCTCTAGTCGTAAGCAGTTTTCAACAAATTCAAACCCTGGCAACAACTCACCAGAACATGGATGTTGTTTTTGACAAAAACAGCAAGTGAGTTTCTCCAACTCGCCATCGTGTTTTTTCCCCCTACTGACTCATTCAGTTTTGTTTAAAGTCGATTCAGTGTTACCCCTCYGAGGACAGCGGCCGAAAACCGATGAAGCCGAGCTGTTTGCTTCTCTGCAGTCAGGCTTTCCTGTAGAGTTTCCACTGTCAGCGTTGTCACAAGCAAACTGCTCATGGGCATGTACATCGTTTTAGAAATGCTTCCTCAGAGATTATCMCTGATAGACACTCCATGTCCTCAGCTTGGCTGTTTTTTTATTTTTCCTCTTGCAGGGTTGAACTTCTGCTCCCACAATCATGCTATTCGTTCTTATTTTAGCAACCAGAACAACACTGACAGTTATTTATTTATTTTTAGCTGGAGTGATGCTTTCTTTCTGCCATTATGTGCTTTCTCATTACAYGCCCTTTTGTTTCCTATCTGTAAAACCCACAAAACTCATTTTGTCAACAGCCTCGTTTCTGGCAAACACAGAGACAATATCCTGTCAAGGGCAAACCATTCTGCAAAATATGTCTGTAAAGTGGAAGAAAGAATCATTAGACTTGCAGTAGTCTGTATTATATTTGTCAGGGGTGGAATTGTTATGGATTTTAGTGGGCTGAYGGGAATAGGAGGCAGATGAGGGCTGTATGAGGTGCCATCTTGGCTGTCAGATCTGTCCTTTGCCCCCTAAGGGCTCTCCTGTTGATGGACCGATAGCTTATAGTTGAAGATGAGCGATAACGGGGCACTTGGACTAAAGTAAAACCCCAAGAATAGCTTTTCTCTACAGTACATGTTTTCCATTTGGTGCACTCTTTGCTTTTATTATTCAGATGGAAATCTCAAGTTGATATATGTGACACTCAAGGTTGTGGGGTGTTCTGGCTCTCATTTATGTTTGGAAATTAATGCGTCCACGCTCGTCCAAGTCCATCCTAATTTTCTATTTGATATACAGTCAGTCTGTGCAAACTGTCACGTATCAGGTCTCCCTCTGCTCGACCTCCAATAATAAACAAGGACAAAACAGGAATGTTTAAGAATAGGCACATCTTCCTTTTAATGCTTCAGCCCAGTCTATCAGTCAGCTCTGCTGTCTATAGGTGTGGCAGCTGCAAACATTTTTCTAAACAGTTTGACACCAAAGTGTTGCAGATGTCCCTGTGCGTTCAGGGACTAACCTCAGTGGCTCCAAAACAAACAAAATATATGTCATTTTTGCAAGACTGTTAAAAAAGGAAAAATAAAATTCCAACAATATACCTTTGACAAGTGTTGTAACAAAGAAACACTGTGTACAACACACAATGTTCCTTTGCTACAAGCTGATGTCATATACACTGTATTTGACATCAACTCATGAGGTCTGTGATAATCTTGCAGAGGTTTGAATTGTTGCCATTTGAAGTAAACAAGTACATGCACTTTGTATAAAAGTTTGAGAACAACTCAAAAATTCATTCCATAATGTGAAACTTTTGAAACACAGATACATGCAACACTTGAACCTTAACCTTCATACATGCTGAAGCATTTCTTAAGATATTAAAAAAAGAAAAAAAAAAAAAGAAAATCACAATTAAATTTCATCAAGCATACCAAAAATAATAAATGAAATAAAATTGTCAGATCACTGTATACAGCTATGACCAGTGATGTCACTAGGCCTATTTTATGGGGGCTGGAGCCCACCTAAAATATTTTAAAGCCCCCCTAAATTATTTTGGTGTAAAAACTTGTTTTAATTTTTTTACAAAAATTCAATATGATGTGATCAGAATAAATAACCATTTAATATTTCATTATTAACTAAAATATATGATCACAAATCTGTCAGTTTCCCTTTAATTTATAGTGTAAGGTAGAGATCCTCTTTGGTGCGTCGTTATCAGTCCATTCCACTTGTTCATGTAGAGTATACATGTGTGTGTGTGTATACTGTACATATAAAATCGTTTCTCTTTTGTTTTGTGGTTGCTTTGTTTTGCAATATATGGTACGTTTGGGACTGCGTATATATGTTGTATGTATTCATTCATGTGTGTATGCGTATGTGCTCAGGATCTGTGTTTATTTTCTTAGTTTTCTAGTGTTTTCAGTGTTCCCCAGTGTCACAGCTCAGCTGCTCCCTGT